GTATTGACTTTGAATGAGAGATTTTTTTACCAGTTGGTGAAAAATGAAGTTCTATCGAGTTGTGCTAGGTCTTGTAGCCAATTTTGGAATCTTGAGTTTAGAGCAAGCTTGATGTAAAGACCTCATTCTTTGGCTTGGGGATCTAAGAGAAAAATCTATATAGAACACCAGAAGGATTCAAGGTCAAGGAAGGAGGACATGGACATGGTTTGTCGCTTGAAGAAGAGCTTGTACGGGTTGAAACAAGCGTCGCGACAATGGTATAAAAAGTTTGATTCTTTCATGGTGAATCAAGGCTGGAAAGGGACAGATGCAAATCCTTGTGTATATGTCTAGAAATTCCCTGATAGTAAATTTATCATCCTTCTCTTATATGTTGATGATATGCTAATCATTGGACTAGATGCACACATGATTAGCAAGAAAGAGTGATTTGTCAAAAGCATTTGACATGAAGGATTTGGGATCGGCAAGGCGAATTCTCGGAATGGAGATTATCCGAGACAGAAAGTCCTGTAGATTATGGTTATCGCAAAAAAAATATGTTGAACAAGTTCTAGAGAAGTTCAACATGAAGAATGCTAAACCAGTTAGCACTCCGCTTGCCGCTCACTTCAAGTTGGGTAAGGAATCCTACCCATCAATAGAGAAAGAAAAAGGAGATATGTCAAATGTTTCATATTCTTCAGCGGTCGGAAGTTTCATGTACGCAATGGTGTGTACAAGACCAGATCGCTCATACAGTTGGCGTTGTGAGCCGATTTCTATCAAATCCCCAGAAGACATATTGGGAAGTAGTGAAGTGGATTTTCAGATAAGGTGGATTTTCAGATAACTGAGAGGGAACTTCAAAGTTATGTTTAATTTTGGAGGTGAAAAGACTGCAACTATTGTTGGCTACACAGATGCCAGATATAGCCGGTGATCTGAATGAAAAGAAAAATCTACAATCATATACCTATTTACATTCTTGAGGGGAGCTTAATTTCATGCAATCAGATTACAAAAATGTGTTCATTTATCAACAACGAAGCATGAGTACGTTGCAGCAACGAAAAGCAGGAAAGGAAAATGCTTTGGTTAAAGCGATTCTTTCAAGAATTGGGGTGTGCAGAGCAGGAAGAATATATAGTTTATGTATGATAGTCAAAGTGCGTTAGACTTGAGCAATACCTATGTATCATGCACGAACGAAGCACATTGATGATGTAAGATATCATTGGCTTAGACTTGCCCTTGAAGAGAAGCAGTCCCAGTTGCAAAAATTTCACACAGACAGAAATGCTGCGGATATACTGACAAAGGTCGTTCCGAAAGAGAAGTTCGAACTGTGTGTCAAAGCGGCAGAAATGGAGAGTCACATCATGTAGTCAGGACGGGGAGAATTGTTGTGGGATCCCTCCAACATGTGGGATCCACACAAGTTTGAAGAAAGAAAAAAAAGTAACAAACACATTTTGTTTTGGGCAGTCAATGAAGGCTGCGAAAGAAAGAGAAAAATGTGTTATTTGAAAAAGAAGAAAAGTTGGCAATCTTCTTTGACAAAGTATAAAAGACGTGAATGAGTTTATACACGGGACTCATTCACTGAAACTGCCTATAAAAGGAGGGCAAAACGAAGTTCATTTAAATGTACAAAATTAAAAGATTTAGAAATACACAATTAAGTGTAAAGAATTTTAGGGAAAGGCGTCGTAAATGGGGAAAGAGAGAAAATAATGCAGGCATTATAATTTTTAGGGGTGTTTTTTTTTTTTTTTGGGAAACAAAAAATTAGAGTACCACTATTTTTGTATCTCTTTTGTCACCTACGTATTTAGTGGAGAATTTAGTACCTACTATTTTTAGTGGAAGAATTATTCAGAGTTTTTATCCCATGGACGTAGCCCATAACAGTTGAAGGGTGAACCACGTAAATCTCAGTGTCCTTATTTTTCATCTGGCATTTATGGTAATTATTTAAGTTTTACTGTGGTTATTATTTCTGGTGAATTCGATCGTTAATATCCAATACGTAATTATTAGAGCATTTTTCTATGGGCCCCACTCGAGATCAGTTATAATCCCAACACAAAGCTTACGATAGAGTGGAGTGGCTTTTCCTAGAGCGATTGTTGCTGAAGTTGGGATTTGGCGATTTTGGGTTGAGAAGGTGATGTGAATGGTTACCACAGTGGTATACTCGATTCATCATGGAGGGCAGCCCTATGGGCCTGTTGTTCCGGCACGGGGTTTACGCCAAGGGGACCCCCTGTCACCTTACCTTTTTATTATCGGTGCACAATCACTATCGATGTTGCTCCAGAGGTTTGAATGTCATGGTCAGTTGCATGGTTGTAGTATTAAACCCGGAGCCCCTACTGCTTTGCATCTGTTCTGCGCGAACGATGTTTATTATTTTTTTAAAGCTCAGGTGGAGGAGGTGTATGTTGTGAAACATTGTTTGAATTTATATCAATAAGCATCGGGACAGGTTGTAAATTTTTCTAAATCGAAAATGCATTTGAGTGCTAATACCAGCCCTTCTTTACAGGTTGCTATTTCGTAACTTCTAGGCATTACTGTGGCTCCTTGTTTTTCTACTTACCTTAGTTTGCCATCAATCATCAGCCGCAATAAGAAGGATGTTTTTGGATATATTGTCGATAAGATTTTGAAACGTTTGCAAGGCTGGAAGCAAAAAATGCTTTTGTGGGCAGGTAAGGAACTATTGCTGAAAACTATTGCCCGAGCTGTTTCAAATTATGTGATGGTTGTTCTTTTACTTCCTCTTGGTATCTGTGATATGATAGAGAAGGCCATGAACCAGTTTTGGTGAAAGAATGGTTGTACGAATTCAGCTAGTTTTCTTTGGGTATCTTGGTCTATCTATGCAGGAGCAAGAAGGGAGGAGTTGGTTTTAGAAGGCTTCGACATTTCAATCTTGCTTTGCTCACTAAACAAGGTTGGCATTTTCTCAATTGTCCAGATGCTCTTGTTACAAAAGTTTTTAAAGCGTGATATTTTTCGAATTGTGGTTTTTTAGAAGTAGCTATAGGAAGGAATTTGAGTTACGTGTGGCACAGTGTTCATGCCAGTATTGATTTGTTGAAGAGCGATTGTTTACGAAGAATTGGGAATGGGAAGGATACTGCAGTTTTTGGGAGTCCATGGTTATTGGATGTTCGCGACCTTATGTGTTGTCGAAAATACTACTGATATAGCGGATGTCTCCGTTGTAGATTTAATGATTTCTAGTCAGCAGCAATGGGATGATGAGCTCTTGTCTATGCTATTTTCACAGGCTGAGGCCAGTTTGATAAAGCAAGTGCAGCTCCTGTTGATGGAGATTCCAGACACTTGGTTTTGGGTTCCCGAGCACAAAGGCATTTATTTTGTTAAAAGTGGGCATCAGTGCTTGACTGCAATACAAAGTGTTCCTCAATGCCTGAGTTTAGAGTTATGGCAGCGGCTTTATCGAGTTTAGATGCCTCCAAAGATTTTAAATTTCTGGTGGCTTCTGACTTTTACCAGTCTTGCAAAATTTACAACGTCGTCATATTGATGTGGTTCACCTTTGTTGTGTGTGAGGTGGAGGATGAATCTGTGGTTCATTGCCTTTGGAATTGTTTGTTTGCGGAGAATAAATGGAGGAAGGCCAATTTTGTTTAGTGGTCGGAGCAAGGGTTGGTGGCAGACTGGATCTAGGTGTTGTTTGATCGTTTTGATGAGGGACAGCTGTCAAGTTTTCATGATCGCCTGGTAGCTGTGGTTCCAGCGGAATAGGGTCCTGTGAAGTAATAAGTGGAGCTGTGATCATGTGCGAAGGAAATCATCCGTCTGATTTTCATTAACTTTGATTCCTTATATACTAATATGTAACCCTATAATCTCGGTAACTAACTACAACTATACAATTGAGCTATTTAAAATAATAAGATAAACGTCAATCTATTTATATACTTTAACACATCCCCTCAGTGTAAGCGGGGGGGTTCACGAACACTAAGACTGGCCCTGAAGTCATCAAACAGTATTCACGGAAGACCTTTGGTAAAAATATCAGCAATTTAGTAACAGGAAGGTATGTGTAAAACACGAACCTGCCACAAGCAACTTTCTCACGTACAAAGTGAATATCCATTTCAATGTGTTTAGTACATTGATGTTGAACATGATTACCTGAAAGATAAATGGCACTAACATTGTCACAGCAAACCAATGTAGCCTTATGAATCGGGAAATATAGCTCCAAACGTAGAATACAGATCCAATAAGACTCAGGGACAACATCTGCAACTCCTCTATACTCGGCTTCAGCACTAGACCTTGATAACATTGGCTATACAGATCCAATAAGACTCAGGGACAACATCTGCAACTCCTCTATACTCGGCTTCAGCACTAGACCTTGATAACATTGGCTATCGTTTGGAGGACCAGGAAATTAAGTTATCTCTGAGAAAAACACAATAACCAGATGTGGATCGCCTAGTGTCAGGACATATGCGAAATGGCTCCTGTGTCCATGTACCAAGTCTCTTCAGGAGGATTAAGAGACACGGTTTTCATTACAGCATCAATATCAGTAAGTGCATAGCTAGAAGGAGACGCCGGTGCAACATATGCTTGTTATGGACGAGATCCTAGAATTCTGGACTATCGTGCAGGTGGACGTGCCCAAGGAGTTATTGGATATGGACATGGTGGTGCAGTCCAAGCTTATTGACCCCATGAGTGCCATGGTGGATATGCAGACCACGAATAAAATGGTGGTTGCTGCTGCCAAAAACGTTGCTGGCCCCCTTGTTGATATCCATTACCTTGGTTATTGCCATCACGATCTCTACAATGACCGCTATTACTTTTTTCTTTATTATTGTTTCAAGGCTGACCTTGTTTCTGTCCATTATTGCTGCAGTTGTACTAATTACTTGAGCCATAATTTGAGCCACGACCGGAGACAGAATTGTCATCCGAACTACCAGTAGTAAGAAGAGCAGTTCCAGCAGCGTTAGAGGCTATGGCTGTTTGCTTAGCTTTGTGGGTTTCAGAAGAGCAGTTCCAGCAGCGTTAGAGGCTATGGCTGTTTGCTTAGCTTTGTGGGTTTCCTCAAGGATAAGCCTTGAACTTGCCTCATAAAACGGAGGCAATGGATCACTCTGTTGAATGAAAGTAGCAGCACCATCGTAATTCTCATTCAATCCCGCAATTAACTGGAGAACTAACCTTTCATTTGAGACCGATGCACCAACATCTGAAAGTTGATCAACAAGCATCTTAAGTTCCTGACAATAAGCAGAAACGTTTGAAAAATCATCAAGATGAACATAAGTGAATTGATTTTCTAGATCAATAGCACGAAAATTTTTTTTATCCTGAAAAATATTTTTCAAACATTCCCATGCTTGGTGTGCAGTTATATCCAGCTCTAGGATGGTGTTAAGAAGATCATTAGAAATCATGACATAAATACATTGAAGAGCTATGGCGTCTAATCGTGACCATAACTTAGGATTGACTTTAGCTGCTTGTTCCTTGCCTTTTTTGGACGGCTTTGGTGGAATGATACAGTCAATCACCTTGTATGCACGAGAATGGATTTTAAAAAGTTCAGCCTAAGAGGAATACTGTCCTTTTTCCATCTCAAGAGTAATGGGGATGAAATTTTTGACATTATTGCCAGCAAGGGTTGGGTGGCAATTAGTTTTGCTGGCCATCTAGCAGAAAAGAAGAGAAGAGAAAGAAGAAAAATAGGGTTGAAGAAAAAAAAAATAGGCAGTGGAAAAAATTAGGGCTCTGATACCATGAAGGAAATCATTCGTCTGATTTTCATTAACTTTGATTCCTTATATACTAATATGTCTATAATCTCAGTAACTAACTACACCTGTACAATTGAGCTATTTAAAATAATAAGATAAACATCAATCTATTTACATACTTTAACAATGTGCTTTGTGGAGCTACTGCAGGTTTGGAGGACTAGCAACAAGCGAGACAATTTGCTGGTTTTATGGTCTTAGGTCAGCAATTGCAGCACTTGGTCAAATGGCACCCTCCTTAACCAGGGAAAATAAAGTTAAATGTCGATGCTGCATGGTCAGCTACGTTACAAACAGTAGAAGTGGGGTGGTTAGCGTGAGATGTGCAGGGGCAGTCTGTGAGTGGTTGCATGCGACAGTGGCCCAATGTTTCTAGTCCTTTTATTACTAAGTTGCTCGGCATAAGTGAAGTGTAGGGTTGGGTACAATATCATTTTGGACATGTGCAGGTTGAGTTGGAAAGTGACTGTTTATTGGCTGTTAATGCTATTAAAGGTAAGGTGGCTGACTTGTCTTATGCGGGGAATTTAATTGTAGATTGTAGGATGCTTATCACAAGCATTACTAATGTTGTTTTATGTTTTGTGAAGAAATCAACGAATCAGGTTGCTCACAGATTGGCAAGAGCATCTGCTTCTATGACTAGTTCTTTAGAGTGAGGTCCTGTCCCTCCAAACATAATTGATGATGTTTTTCCCTTGATATGAATAATATATAATGCAATTGAATTTTCAAAAAAAAAAAAAGCTAAATTATAAATTATAGTAATAATAAATTATTAAAAATTATTAAATTATTATTAATAATTTACATAATAATATAATGAAATAAAATATAACTAGACATAACAAGATTAATAATTTACATAATAATATAATGAAATAAAATATAACTAGACATAACAAGATAATAATAGTAAAAATTTAAAATTTTGAAATGCTTAATTATTGAAACGACCCGGAAAATGTTTTCAAAATTTTTCATTTAAAAATTTAATTGTAAATTTCAACCAATGAAATTCAGGGAAAAAGTATTTATTTCTTACTATATCGGACTCATAAACTAGTTTGAATTTTTCCAAAAACCAAGTGAAAACTCGTAAACCAAGCAAAATCGACCCAAATCACTCAATTGGATCAAATCGATTTGAATCAAATCGGAATGACCCAAAAAACTCTAGAAACCCGTTTTTTTCCCTCCCTCCCCGTTTTCGGCCACCGCTCGACGAGAGAGAGGTGACGGTCAACTCGTCTGGTGCTGTTGGTCACATTTCCGACCACCTCTCACGCGAAAAGGGCCTTCATTGACGCGAATCAGACCCATTTTCATCGATAGTCCATGCTTTTCGATCTTCGGTGATTTCTCGCCATTTCCGACAGTTTCAACATGAAGGATGGGAACTGATCGACTCCCCTCACTTATGCGATCGTTTCCCCTCAGTCAATTCCGACAGCAAAGCTCGAATGGTAAAACCACCATTAATAGCGGCACCAAGTGACCGTCGACGCCTATTCCAGCCAAACTAGCCACTAACTCAACAAACAGACGACAAAATCGAGCTCCCTGTGAAAATTCGAGTCTCAGGATGTATGAATCGCGTAGTTCTGGGCATAATTAATTTTCCGGCTATTGTGAACAGCGGCCGGTGGCGGCGGTCCGGCGACCGGCTGGTGAGTCTCCATTAAGGCCCTAAAGAGACAGAATCATCCCTTCCTCGCGTTGATCCTGGGATCGTCGTCTAATTTTCGACTGGCACATTCTAAGACTCAATTCCTAATTTTTGGTATAAATTCCAAATTTGAAAAATTTTAGTTAAACAAGTTGGCTTCTAATAAATAGTTAATTAAAAAGCAATCATAGGATTTTGGAATGCATTTATATAATTTCCTTAATTAATAGATGTGATTGATCTATATATAAATTGAAATGGTATATTGATGAAGATGGTTTGGCAAAACACTTCAAGAACAATTATTATTCATTTGAATATTTCTAATGTTAGTTAATCACATAGGTTCATTATGATTAATCCTGTGAATCATTAAGTATGATAACTTGTAAACATTCATGAATTCGATTACTTAATTAAAATTACTTGCAACAGTGCTAAAAGAATATTATTTCAAAGAAATATTATTGAACGATAATACAGTTGATCTATAAACCAAATGAAGTCGTGAATTAAATTCACAGTGCAGTGAGCATAGTATATAAGATTAAGAAAGGGAGAACCTAGTATTTGTTGGATAGTCGCTATTGCAGATAAATTATACCATTTTATATATAGACTAATGTAATAATGGACGTGCATATATTTTCAATATTTTTATATGATTAGTGTTGGTTATATCTAGAAAGGGAATTTTTATGTCAAGACGAAGAAGAATACATGAAGCTTTAATTGATACATAGTTAAGTTGTGAACTGAGTTACTTACATGATGCTTTTATTAAATTATAATTTAATTGAACCATCAATTTTTAATAGCTAGTCTGGAATTTAATAAATGTTCAAGGACGATGTTGATATCTTAAGTAAAGAATGGTTGAGAATATCATTGAGACATGTTGAAAGTTACTTTAATTCTTAAATTTATGATTTGATTGATTGCTTGACGGATGGGCTGTGTGAATTTAGTAAATGATTAAATGAATGAATAATGGTTATAGCGGACGGGACTAATTATTGTGAATTGCCCGATGGATGGGCTTTGAGAATTTATTACTGAATTATAGTTTTAGGCATGTAGTTTAACTCAATTTCTAAGGAAGGCTCCACCGAAATTTCGATAGAATCTAGGCTAATCATATATAGTAATTAAATTAATAGGTTTATTTAGATTAATTCTATACCTCGATATTTTAAAAATAAAGTTCTTTATTTATTTTATTATTATTATATTATTATTTAATACTCTCGTATTTATTTGAATTGGCATATAAATGTTTGTTTGAGCTCTTGCATGCTAGTGTTTGATTACTTGATATGCTTGCATTTATTGCAATATTTGATTACTTGTGTTGTGACATTGCTATGCATTGTTTGTGTGCAGTTGGGATGAAGTGGGTCATCATTGGTTTGTGAGGATGGTACTAAAAAGAATGAAAATATGAAATTTGACCATCGACCAGGTATGGGGAGATCGGCGCCCCCGTGTGCACCTGATGATATGATATGGATGATATGGAAAACCACAAGGTGGCCTCCTGTTGGTATAGAAATGAGGCTCTTGGCATGCTAGTGGTTTGATTTTACTTGATATGCTTGCATTTATTGAAATTGATTACTGTGTTTGTGACAGTTGCTTATGCATTGTTTGTGTGCAGTGCGATGAAGTGGTCATCATTGGTTGTGAGGATGGTATAAAAGAATTGAAAATATGAATTTGACCATCGGACAGGTATGGAGTCGAGATCGGCGCCCCGTGTGCCACCTGATGCTCTTGATATGGCATGATATGAAAAACCACAAGGTGGCCTCCTGTTGGTATAGAAAAGAAAGAAAGAATGGGAAAAACAATGAGACGCTAGTCAAGTTGGAGGATTTAGCACTGGTCGGGGCCATGATATTAGGGATCGGCTCCCTAGTTGCCACCGTTCATTAGAGGATATGGGCCTGTGGAGGAGGACGGCTCACTCGGGTTTTCGCGTGACGCCACAACCAATTTTCCACATGATCTTGTAATTATTGTTGGAGGATGGGCCATGTGGGAGGACGGCTCATCGGGTTTCGGTGACGCCACAAACCAATTTCCACATGATGTAATTATGTGAAGTTGTTAATAATTATGAGTGTTGTTGTTATGCCATTTGTGTGACTGTCAAAGTGATCATATAACTAGTCGAACGACTAGATTGATATATTTAACTTCGTGTGAATGCATGTGTTGTGCAATAATTATTATTCCTTGTAAAACTCACATGTCTTGTTTAACTTTTCAGGAAGTAGGTTCCTTTTTATTCCGATTTAAGCTCTGTTTCTTCTCTACAGAGCTAGAAAGAAATTTTTCTTCGTTTCAGTGATTATTTAACTATATAACTATATGTACAAGAACCTATTTAAATCTGTCTGTTAGTGAACTCCGTAGTTGTAAGATTTATATATCTCTAGTTGTGTATTAATATAGGTGTAATGATTTTATGAGCCCATATTATAAATATAATGTATTACAAGTTGGGCCCGATCTATGAAATGTGTAAAATGTTAAATTTGGGGCCGCAACATAATATAATTATGAGGTTTATTGAGATGGTATTATGTGTTGAATGGTAGAAATTCATATTGAGATAATTGAATTTTAGTGATTCAGGCTTACTACGGGCCTTAGGACTTTAAGCTTACTTGGGCCTTAGTGCCGGTCCGGCCCATGGAAACGGATCATGACAATTATCTATATATATTTGTCTATTAAAAAAGTCAAAAAAAAATATCCAATCAAATTATAGAAATATTATATACATTTTTAGGTTAAAATTTTTAATTAGCTGAGACTAAGGTTGTTTTAGGATATCTTAAATTTCACAAAATCAATATCAGCAATCTCATTATTCACCCTCCCCCTCATTCCCACTTTATATATAGTATAGATAATATATCAAGTTAGCAAGTTAGGGGTCCTGAGGGACGGACGTCAATTTAAA